GCAAGGTATTGATTCCTGACATTTATTATCTTATGTCCTTTAAAAATAATTTTAAAGGTACTTAAGTTATCTAATAGTAATACATGAGCTTTAGAAAATTATAACTAATCCTATCTAACACGAGCATTTTTTACTTTTGTGTTTTCTCTTACTTTCTGTTTATGCACTCTTAGGAAGTTGTCATTTTTATGATATTAGTCTGATTTTGCTACCTATCTTCCATGTCTTTGCTAGATCCTTTTTACTATATGCTACCCTTAAAAGTTTCCTTAGAATTTCATCTTTGAATATTTTTTCTTCATACTTTCTGAAACATTTTGCAAAAAAGAACACCTCCCATCCACATGCGCTTCTTTTAATGTGGTCTTGATATTCCTCCTTTACAGTGTGGACATCAGTCTCAGCTCCTGTAGAACCTGGGTAGGCCATTGTGGCTGAAGTAATGCTGTATGTCTTCTGAGACTGGGTCTTAAAGTACCCTGTATTTGTGTCTCGCCCCTGTGGCCATGTACTCTTGGAGTATCTTACCATGCTGTGACGAAGCCCAAGTATCCTGTACCAAAACCCAGCGGAAAAGAAACAAGAGCAGGGCTACTCACTCAGCGTGCCAGCCATATAAGCAAGCCATCTGGAAAGTGGATCTTCAGTGGCTCTGTATGGAGCAGAGATGAGCTATCCTTGCCCAGCTCTGCCCACATTGTAGATTAATGAGCAAAATAACAATCAGTGCTGATTTAAGCATTCAAGTTTTGGAGTAGCGTATTACATAGCAAAAGAAAATCAGAATAGATTTTGATACCTGAAAGAATGTGTGAGTAAGTTTGGGACCAGGCAGTGGGAAGAATCTCTGGGGGTCTTGAGGAGGCACTCACTGAGACGTGAAAGACAGTAAGGGACAGGTTATTGGAAGCTTGAGAAAGGGAAATTATTTTTATATTGTAGCTGTTAGAAATAGGAAATATATCTAATAAACTTGGTTCTCCATGTAAGAAAATTTCTAGGTGTCATCATAAAAGTGTCACTTGATTTCTTCTTACTGTGTATTGTAAAATGGAAGAAAGAGGAAAAAGAGCAGATGGCTAAACTGAAAGGAGCCAGGACATACTGGGTTTTCCAGACAATAAGTGGTTCTCTAAGTAAGATATTATTTCAGGGCAAAGTTCAGTCCTGAGTGAGACTATAAGATTCTTTAAGACTTTAAATCTCAGGGGCTGTCATAGAAATTTTTAGACATATAAAAAATCAATTTTTCTAAGAGTCTAAAAGGCATGCCCTGTGGATCCTCTTTATTAAAAGATGGGACTTCAAAGAATCTTAAGTGTTTTGTCCCATAAGACACTAACAAATACATATGTGAATTTGACTTTTAGTTAATGAAATGGATTATAACTTCATAATTAAGAAACCTAAGAGGTTTTTAAAGAATCATATTGGCTTTAATGAAAGGGACAAACATCTAAGAAAATGGAAGAGGTTGAGAAA